CGGCTGGCCGCAGCGAGCGGCGTCCCCCGCCTCCTCGGCCCGGCCGGCGCTGGCGGGGAGCAGGTGCGTGGGCGCTGCGCTGGCGGACTCGCGCTGCTTCCTGGCCTGCATGTGCTTCCTCACCTTCATCCAGTCCCTCATGGTCTCGGGCTACCTGAGCAGCGTCATCACCACCATCGAGCGGCGCTACAGCCTGAAGAGCTCCGAGGCCGGGCTGCTGGTCAGCTGCTTCGACGTGGGCAGCCTGGTGGTCGTGGTGTTCATCAGCTACTTCGGGGGGCGCGGGCGCAGGCCGCTGTGGCTGGCGGTAGGTGGGTTTTTCATCGCCCTGGGGGCTGCACTCTTTGCCTTACCTCACTTCATCTCCCCGCCCTACCAGATCCAAGAGCTCAACTCCTCCGTCTCCAGCGAGGGCTTGTGCCTGACTGGCAACAATACGGCCAGGGACCCTTTGGACTCACCCGCCTGTGTCAAGGACTCTGGTGGGAAGGATCATGCCCTCTATGTAGCTTTATTCATTTGTGCCCAGATCCTCATTGGCATGGGCTCCACACCCATCTACACCCTGGGACCAACCTACCTAGATGACAATGTCAAGAAAGAAAATGCATCGCTTTACCTAGGTAAGGTGCATCCCTTAGGCAGTTGAGGGTGGGGGAGGGCAGCGAGCCATCCCTGGCTCCTTCTCCAAATCTGAGCTGAAGGTACTTGCAGCTGCTGCCTGGGATCACAGGACTGGGATCTGGTCCAGTGGTTCTCAACCCTTTTTGTTCTAGGACCCATTTGTAAACGTCAATGGCCAGTCCTGACCCAGTGCCCCTCACTCCTGACCCACTGCCCCATGCCCCTAGGCCCCAGCCCCCCTAGTGTGTGAGGCAGGGGGTGGGTATGCGGGACATGGGGTGGGGGGCCCAAGCGGCCCCTTGCAGGCTGGAACTCTGCCAGCCTGCAAGTAAAAAGCCACAGTTTCCCATGTTTTTCTCCTTTTAAAGGAGAATCCATTTTTAAAGTTTGTTGATCCTTTTTTAAAGTTTGTTTGTGACCCTTTCATATATTCTTGTGACTCACTTTTGGGTTATGACCCACCAGTTGAGAAATGGTGATCTAGTCCATCACCTCTGTGCAGCTGCAAGATACACTTATGTGTTATCCCTGAGTAGCTCTGCGAAGCAGTGAAATGGTCATATTTTCTTGTGCTTGTCTTGTACCTTCTTCCTGCAGAAGTCTCACAAAGTAACAGAATTATAGAAAATAAAGATTTGGATGGACCTCTAGAGGCCATCTACTCCAGTAGTTCTCAAGTTCTTTTTGTACCAGGACCCATTTGTAAGCATGGATGGCCAGCTCTGACCCAGTGCCCCTCACTCCCAATCTACTGCCCCCAGGCCCCAGCCCCACAGTGTGTGGGGTAGAGAGTATGTGTGTGTGTGGGGCATGCGGGACCCCAAGGAGCCCCTTGCAGGTTGGAACTCTACAAGGGAAGGGAAAAACCATGGTTTTCTACATTTTTCTCTTTCAAAGGAGAATCCATTTTTAAAGTTTGTTGAGCCTTTTTTAAAGTTTGTTTGTGAACCTTTCATATATTCTTGCAACCCATTTTTGGGTTGTGACCCAAGGGTTGACAAACGTTGATTTAGTCCAACTCCCTGCTCAAAGTAGGTCCATCCCAAACTATATCATCCCAGCCAAACCTCTGTTTACCCAGGTCTTGGAAACCTCAAAAACTTCTTAAAAACATAAAATTGGCTGTATATATAAGGAAAACCTTGTTACTGGCTGTATGCAGGGGTTATAAGAGTAAATAACCAGAGGGGCTTTTTCAGTGACAGTTCGGGTTGGTATTGCTACTAGCAATTTTCTGTAGGGGTTTTCACATGGATAAATTATTTTTAAAGTCAGCCATGTCCCTTTGAGTGGTTGGTGTAATAATAAAGTGTTGTATTTTAAACTTGTGTCAGCCTGCCTTTAGCATAGGGTGGTTATAACAACAGTGTCCTGTGGATCATTTGATATGCTCCCTCCCCAAGATGTATTCAGAAATGTATTTTAGAAATTATAAGATCATATGGTAACTTTACAAAGGGTTTTAAAAAGCAGGCCATGAAACTTAAAAGTTCAGTCTCTTGTGGGCACTTGACAAAATGACAGTCCCCAAGCTGTTAACAGCTTACACCTGGTGCTTGATGGTTTAAACCTGTGTACAGATAGTAAGAGTGACCCATTAGTTAATGCTTCCAGTTAAGGGAGGCATGTGATTATTCAGATAACAGGGTCTCAGACCACATAAGGTTTTAAAGACCGTAACTGACCCTGAACATATTTATAAGGCAAATTATTGTTTTCCAATTTTACATGAGTGTTTTGTATAAGAAATGAAATTTCTTTACCTTGTAACATCCTTTTTTAAGGAAAGAAGTTCTCTGGGGATAGAGGTGAATCCCATTCGTTCTGGATGCTCACCATTCCTGTTCTTGCGAAGTTTTTATTGACCTCAAATTAAATTATTTTGTTTTTAATACAACTTTACAACCAACAGTTCTATGGAAGATGGGCATGTGTGACTTTAAAACATGCTTAATGAAGTGAGAAGGTGGGTATATAATCTCTTTATTCAGAAGAAGCATTAGATCATGTGGGGAGGATTGTGGGCCAGTAATCTCCCTATTTTTCCTATTATTCTTTAATAATTGGACCACTTCTAGAACCATTTTATAAGCCAGTTCTTCAGGCAAATCTTTTTTGGTATTGGTGATTTTCAAGTTTGGTACAGTATATTTTGTTATTTTGTCAGTGTTACAGATCATTGCATTAAAAAAACAGATGCAACAAAGTATTTTATTTACCCCCACTCCATTCTTGATTAAGTAATATTGCTGTGAAAATGCTAAGGAGTCCAAAGTGTGTCAGTATTACAATGAAGCAACACTAGTTCTGTGGTTCATTTAGTCACCCTGGCAGTTAGTCCCTCCTTCCATTTGCCAAAATAGATGGTGAGCTTTGGGAGCAAATGGGGTAGACCTCAGAAGGAGGGACCTATACAATGAGTGATCTGGGGACAAAAGAGATGAGCAGCTTGAGAGGAAGAGGCTAGGTACTGTGGGGAGAGGGAAGCAAGGTCAGGGCTGTGAAATCCATGTCATAGTACAAGCGTGCCCATTGCCAAGGTGCTCTGAGCATGTTTTCATAAAACAGTTAATGGAGAGACGAAAAAAATATAAACAGTTATTGGAGAGAAAGCAAGTTGCAGCTATGCACAGACCTGTCATCCTGGATTCATGGAACAAATTCTGTTCTGATTTACACTGTGGAGCCTCATTAACTTCCAATTCATTGCTACAGAAGTGCAGCTACTCAGAAAATGAGTCCCTTTTATCTAGTTCTCGGTACCCACCTTTGATTAAAATTTAAGCTTGTGAATCCAGCTGTACAAGGGTTGCAGAGAGAGTAGTTAAAACAAACAAAAACCAAACAAATGGATCTAAAAATTGCTGAAACTGGGTTTTTTTGTTTTTGTATGCTTTTTATTTTATAGTTATATAGTTTATACAATTTATGGCCTTTCGGGGCTCAAAGCAAGGGTTTTCTGTTGGCAATTTGGGTATTGCTTTTTTCAGCAGTGCTTTTCTATGGGTAAGAAAATGAGTACGAGTAAATGAGTACTTTTACTCATGAGTACTTCTATGAGAAAATAAGTACTTCTGTGAGGAAGAGAGATCGGCTCTTTAAGCTATCACTTGTACGGGACTACCGTGTTGATTCAAATCCAAGATGAGGTCTTTCTTCCAGTCGGCATGGGGGGAGGGGGAGTGGGGGACACATCTTGGATTCAAGTACTGACCTGGGGCAGGTGGTATCTGGCTTTAGTCTGAGCTGGGGGCTGTCTGGGTCCATAGCTGCTGCTGAATGCCGTGATCTACAGTGGAGCTGCAGTAGAAGGTAAGGATGGGGTGGGAAGGGAGGGGAGCAGGGTTTGGTGGGGCAGGCACAGGAAGAGGTTCCTGCCCCTCCAAGGGCAGGGGCAGGGACCACATGGTTGGGAGACATAGCAGGGCGGGGTTGGCACAGGGAGAACAAGCATGGGGGGAGGGGAGCAAGGGAAGGGGGTCTGACTCCTCACCCTGCCTGCCTTCCCCAATGCTGCTTTCTTTGGCTCAGCAGATTGGTGTAGGGTGGGAAGGGGAAATGAATTTAAGATGACCTTCCACTAATTAGATTCTATACATGGAAACTTACAACCAATGTATAGTTTTTCCATGTATAGCATCTAATTATTGGGAGGTTATATTAAATTCAAAGTTGCCCTGGATCCAAGTAAATACAGTATTACTCATATTAGGACTTAGATAAGTTATATTCCTTTGTGTTGTGGGTAAATTCTATGCTAACGGGGAAAAGAAAACATTTATATATCTGGCAGGTTGCTTAAACAAACGTGGCAGCTTGAAGCTGCTCAAAGATTTGGAACATTTGAAGTCTCGATGAGATGGATTAGAAGGTAAAAGGCAGACTGCACAATCAAGGGGACAGAAGAAATGTATTACGTTACTTTCCAGTTAATTCGCCTAGTGTTACCACTACATCTATCAGGTGTAATATTTACTTTTTCAATTCAATGGGACTTTACTTTCAGGCCAAGTTCTGCCAGTGCCCAAATGTGTGTGTCTGTTGGGTTGGTGGGGGGTAGGGAGGGGGTATGCTAAACAAAAGGAAAATTTTGGGCCATAGAATTTGAAAGAAGTGTTATGAAAAGGAAACAACCCAGCTAAATAAAGCTGATGTTCAGTATTTCAGTGAGGATGGTGTTACCTTCAGGTGCCATATGTTTAAAAAAATCTTTTGTGTTGCAAAATGTAAAATCCTTGACATTTGGTAATTACATCGGTGTTGCATTTTGAATATTTTTCTCAAAAAATATTTAAAAAATATCATTTGTTTACAAACATACACCTTATAAGTTTGGCAAACCTCAGAACTTAAAACCTCTTACAACCCTTTAAGGCTTGTAAACTAATTATAATTCTACAAAGCTCTTGAAGATCACTGATCCTGATTTTACAAAAACTCACCTTATGTGGCTGGGGAAGCTATTTTATTTTCCAAGTTAATCCAGCTCAGGACTTGAGTGGCAATAGCATATCCTCTTAAGCGTAGGCATGCAAGCTCAGCGTGGACAGCCATTTTAACGTTCCTGGCTGGAAGTCCTGCACTCAGAAAACACATTTGATGCTTATACATAGTCTTCTGGCTGCCTATGCTTCAGTTCATCTGTCAGAATGGCACTATGCCAATTCATAAGGTGGTATGTCTTTCTGTTCGGAAAAAGGTGCCAACCAGTGGTGTGTGTTTGGGTGGCCTGCAAAGTAATTGAAATCATCTTTCTTCTGAAGGAAGTTTCTTCTCTGGGATGGCAACGCAATGCTGATTGCTCAATACTCATGCCTATTGACACTTGTACCAAAGTATTTTTAGTGAGAAAATATATGACCTGAGGTTTGGCACCAGTCTTGCCTTTCAAAAAGTCACTTATGTAGCTGGTGTCCTTGGAAATGCCTGAAGAATCAGTTCTCTTAGTTACAGAGGAATCCAAGTGAGTCGTAGAATAAAAGTTGTGAGCTTTCTCTGT